TGATGTCCAAACACCTTAAGGTAGATTAACCTATGGTCCAAGAATCTATTCCTGTGCCCTGTACTATACAATTAAACTAATAACTTTTTCCTCAGAGATTTAAAAAATTCCCAATTGCAAGGATTGATATTTTATTAAAAAAAAAAAAAAAAAACAGAAAATGGGGCCCTGACTTGTGGTTTCTTACCAAGATGTATACTTTTTACCATTCCTAATAATTTTACAGTTAATAGTTCTCTATACTAATGACCTTTTTAAAATTGCATGCTCAGATCAACCAAAAATCCCCCATGTAATCCGCTAGGTGGCTAGAATTTGGAGAACACATTGTGAGAAAGCAATTGGGTGAATTGACACTACTGATAAGTTTTGATAATTTCTCCAACTTAGCATTCAGATCCCTGGACATTATGCCTGCAATTATACAAATTTTAAAATGTCACCAAATAATTACACTCCAATATGCGACTGCAGCGGGACGTAAACCAAAGACCTCTTTCATAAAATTTTCATAAACTCTCCATATATAATATTCCTGGCCCTGCATGAACCACAATTGCAACTACTTGGGTGCTCTGTGAGGGTAAGCAGATGTAGGTGTGAACAAGTAGTGGCATTTACAGCATGCTTGACAGCAAGTACAATAGCCTGCTTGTTAGCATTATACTGGAAATTGTACAAACATGTCACAATGCATTTGAAACTGGACAGGTTTAAGAACAAAACGCTTAGTTTATGTATTCATAAAAAAAAAGGTAAATTAATTTTTATATTTTTAACTACAGTATTGAAACAGTAGAGGGAAGGTAAGTACTCTGAGGCAGCAAGAACTCTACTGAGGCTATGGATCTCTTGAAAATAATTCCAATTCCCTTGCAATCAATAAAAATAGTTTGTGCGTAATTGTCTATGTATATATGCAAGTACAGGTGTACCTTGGTTTACAAAACTCCTCGGTTAACGGAATTTTCAGTTTACAAATAAAAATCTATTGAAAATAATGCCTTGGTTTAGGAATTCTTTATACATTTTTTCACAATATGAAGCGTATGTTGGTTTTTAAATGCAATTGCCGGCTTTTTTTTTCTTCACTATAGCTCACAGAATTAGCGGTCACTTTCCCCGGAATTAAAGGGAGCTTTGTTTCATTTAGGAAACTAAAAGGAAACATTGTTTCTTTTAACTTGGGGAAATAAACTAAAAAGAAACTTTCTCTTTTAGCAGGGGGGGGAAGTGACAGCTGAATCTCTCTGAGCTATAGTGAGGAAAAAAACAAACAAACCAGTAATTACATTTAAAAACCGGCACCATAATAAATAGTAAAAAAAAAAAAACACGGCGTGGGGTTCCCCCTCCCATCCATAACAAGCCCTTCAGGTCTGGTATGGATTTTGAGGGGAACTCCCACGCCAAAATGTAAAAAAATAAAACAAAAATAAAAATGGCGTCGTGGGTGCCCCCCCCCCCCCCAAAATCCATACAAGAAAGGGGGGAGAAGGAGCGAGCCCCCCTCCTGAATCATACCAGGCCACATGCCCTCAACATGGAGGGGTGCCTTGGGACAGGGGGACAAGGGTCTCTTTCCCCAAAACCCTGGTTGGTGGTTGTGGCGGTCTGCGGTCAGGGGGCTTCTAGGAATCTGGAAGCCCCCTTTAACAAGGGTGACCCCATATACCGCCCCCTCCCCCATGTGAATGAGTATGGGGAGCATGGTCCCGATACTCATTCACAAAATCAAAAAGTGTAGTGTGAAAAAAGACTGGACACGGTCTCTGACAAATCCTTTATTAAAAGCAAAAACTAAAACAATGTCCCCCGCAGTAGATCCAACGTCAATCACGATGCCCACCGCCGACCCGAAAAAAAAAAAAAAAAAGGCTCTGCTTCCGACGATGGCTTCTGCCATCCTGCTCCAGTGGTTTAACAATTCTTAAATAGGTAAGGGGCGGGGCCACCCAGGGACATCACGTTTGTGATGTCACATGGGGCGAGGTCACTCCTGTCGGTGGCGGGCATCGTCAGGTGTGGTTTGTTCCTTGGCCTTCATGATGCGGTTTGTTCACTAATGTTCTCTAACAAACCTTTGAGGGCTTCATAGAACAGCTGTATTTATATTGAGATTAAATTATATGCAGGTGGACGCTATTTACTAATTAGGTGACTTCTGAAGGCAATTGATTCCACTAGATTTTAGTTAGGGGTATCAGAGTAAAGGGGGTGGAATACAAATGCACGCAACACTTTTTAGATATTTGTAAAAAATTTTGAAAACCATTTATTTTCCTTCCACTTTACAAATATGTGTCACTTTGTGTTGGTCTACCACATAAATCCCAATAAAATACATTTATGTTTTTGGTTGTAACAAGACAAAATGTGGAAAATTTAAAAGGGGTACGAATATTGTTTCAAGGCAGTGTGTGCGTGTGTATTTTATTTATCATCTCACAGAAGAGAGTACACCCCTCACATTTTTGGAAATATTTTATTATATCTTTTCATGTGACAACACTGAAGAAATGACACTTTGCTACAATGTAAAGCAGCGAGTGTACAGCTTGTATAACAGTGTAAATTTGCTGTCCTCTCAAAATAACTCAACACACAGCCATTAATGTCTAAACCGCTGGCAACAAAAGTGAGTACACCCCTAAGTGAAAATGTCCAAACTGGACCCAAAGGGGTTTATTTACTAAAGCTGGAGAGTGCAAAATCAGACTCACTTCTGCATAGAAACCAATCCGCTTCCAGGTTTCATTGCCAAAGCTTCATTGAACAAGCTGAGGTTAGAAGCTGATTGGTTTCTATGCAGAAGGGAGTCTGATTTTGGACTCTCCAGCTTTAGTAAATAAACCCCATAGTGTCAATATTTTGTGTGGCCACCATTATTTACCAGCACTGCCTTAACCCTCTTGAGCATGGAATTCACCAGAGCTTCACAGGTTGCCACTGGAGTCCTCTTTCACTCCTCCATGACGATATCACGGAACTGGTGGATGTTAGAGACCTTGTGCTCCTCCACCTTCCATTTGAGGATGCCTCACAGATGCTCAATAGGGTTTAGGTCTGAAGACATGCTTGGCCAGTCCTTCACCTTTACCCTCAGCTTCTTTAGCAAGACAGTGGGGTCATGTGGCCCATTCTCTGAAGGGAAGGGATCATGCTCTGCTTCAGTATGTCAGAGTACATGTCGCATTCATGTTTCCCTCAATGAACTGTAGTTCCACAGTGCTGGCAGCACTCATGCAGCCCCAGACCATGGCACTCCCACCACCATGCTTGACTGTAGGCAGGACACACTTGTCTTTGTACTCACCTGGTTGCCACCACACACGCTTGACAACATCTGAACCAAATCAGTTTATCTTGGTGTCATTAGACCACAGGACATGGTTCCAGTAATCCATTTCCTTAGTCTGCTTGTCTTCAGCAAACTGTTTGCAGGCTTTCTTGTGCATCATCTTTAGAAGAGGCTTCCTTCTGGGACGACAGCCATGCAGACCAATTTGATGCAGTGTGCGGCATATAGTCTGAGCACGGACAGGCTGATCCCCCACCCCTTCAACCTCTGCAGCAATGCCGGCAGCGCTCATATGTCTATTTCCCAAAGACAACCTCTGGATATGACACTGAGCACGTGCACTCAACTTCTTTGGTCGACCATGGCGAGGCCTGTTCTGAGTGGAACCTGTCCTGTAAAACGCTGTATGGTCTTGGCCACCATATGCTGCAGCTCAGTTTCAAGGTCTTGGCAGTCTTCTTATAGCCTAGGTCATCTTTATGCAGAGCAACAATTCTTTTTTTCAGATCCTCAGAGAGTTCTTTGCCATGAGGTGCCATGTTGAACTTCCAATGACCAGTATGAGAGAGAGAGAGCGATAACACCAAATTTAACACACCTGCTCCCCATTCACACCTGAGACCTTGTAACACTAACGAGTCACATGACAACTGGGAGGGAAAATGGCTAATTGGGCCCAATTTGGACATTTTCACTCAGGGGGGGTGTACTCACTTTTGTTGCCAGCTGTTTAGACATTAATGGCTGAATGTTGAGTTATTTTGAGGGGACAGCAAATTTACACTGTTATACAAGCTGTACACTCGCTACTTTACATTGTAGCAAAGATATAAAATATTTACGAAAATGAATGTGAGGGGTGAACTCACTTCTGTGAGATACTGTATATGTATATATATAATATATGTGTGTATAAATATATATATATATATATATATATAATTTTTTTTTGTATTGTCTTTTTTTTTTTAACTGCGCATTTAGCCATTTACCTGGAGTTCAACTTTAACATGTTACATTACCACGAGTATGTGGAGTGAGTGTCTACCACATGACTGAAATATGGGGCAGTGCACATTTTTCAGCCAGCTTCACTTATTTGTGTAACTGGTTCTTCATTGTGGAAATCTATTGTGACCTATGTTTAGTACATATGATTCTCAGAAGGTTATCCCCAATCAGGTGCTAAACGGTTAAATAAGCACAAGTATTGCAAACAGTATCTTGATAAATGCAATTATAGTATTGTTTCACTTGATCAAAACACTAAATTCCTGTAAGATGAATTTTATTTTCATTTTCTTTTGTAAATGATGTACTCAAGTGATGTAAAAACTAAAGCTTTCAATGACAGAGTTAGATTATATGCCGTTTGAAATGTTGCCTCTGCTGTAAATTTGGGAACTTCTAGGTAAGCATCTTTCTTACGAGTTCAACAGCCACTGACTTTTAGTGCCATCAGATTCATGATGAAAAGCAATAAGGGAAGTCTTTGTCAAGGGTCTACGTTCAGTGTTCCTTTTATACAGTTCTGTTGTGCTAGTATGTTAACATTTCACCTGTTTAATGCTAGACTTAAACTTTAAAGTTAGGGGGGGGGCAAAAAAAATGAACTCATGGATAAAATAAAAAAAATGGATTAAACAGCACACATGAAGATGACAGCAACAGCAGTAGCGCAAAAATAAAAAGTACTCACGCAGAATCTACTGGCCAGAAGTTGATCAGAGTAACAGGACTGAAAGACAAAAATGGGGAGGTGAAGAGAAAGTAGAGCATAGAACTGAAAAGTGGAATGAGCTTTATGACATTAACATGAATGCAAATCAAAGCAGCCAATGAAGAAAATTATACATACAAATATAATTAAAGCTCAGAAATACAAGCTGAAATAGTGGGTTCAGTAAACAGTATAAATCACAATAAGAGAACACAAATCCAATGCATTTTTGTTTGAATGCTCGATAATAAAATTAGACACCTTTATAATCAAAAGTATCATGCTAGAAATCGATGTGATATGCTAGAATACCAACTGATAATTTTACGGCTTTGTTAGTCTTATAAACTGAAGGAAAATATTCTTGTTGCCTAAAACAACTAATCATGTTTGAACTACCAATTTTCTACTGAACAGTAGAAAATTAAAGTAGGACTGATTGGAGGCAGCAGACAACACTATAGGGTGTATTTATAGGGAAATAGGTAGAGCTATTCGTTCTGTGAAACTTAATGTTCATTCCATGTGATAAATGGCAAAATCAAATGTTAATAAGCTATTTTTTTTTCTAGACAAATGCTCATCATTAATAAAAATAGTGTGATTTAAGAAAACACCACATTATGGCCACTAGATGGAGCCGAAGACCATAGGAAAAAAAATATCTTAATTGTTATTACTATATTTAATAGCTATAATGTGGTATTTTCATTATTCACACTATTCTTATAGGAATGCAAGAAGCTCTGGAGAGAAAATAGCCAAGTAGCAATTGGTCTGGCCAGAATTTGCACAGAACAAATGTACGAAGCCTATACCAAAAGTAATGCAAGAGTGGGCATAACTTTTTTTTAAACTTACTAATGGTAAGTTGCTGCTGCTTGGAATCTATTATTTACCTGCAATAAAAAAAAGAAGAGATACTATAGAAGAAGAGTTTCTCTAGCTATAAACAATTGTGACATCTGAATGACCTATGTACCGTAAATTATTCAAAACGTTATGACTACTTTTGCATCACGTTCGATACTCCCCTCATACATGCAGTTTTGCAGAATGAATAACTCACTGCTAATTTTTGTCAATACATACACCCCTATGTCAATCATCTGTACCTCAATCTAGGCGGTTTCAAATTAGATGAAAAGGGTGCTGTTCCAATCACCATGGCCATTCAGGGAGCTCGGCTTGGTGTGAAAGTACTATATTATTGACAATGTTTCACTGGATTACTATTTTGGATCTAATAAAAGGTTAACTTTGTTGTTTTGGCAATGACGTGCAGTTTTTGAAGTTTGTTTTACTATAAGAATAAAAATCTTGCATACAGCTAAACGTATGCCTACTACGTTGTTTGCATAAACCTACAGACCATGATAGCAACAGGGCAGATGTCTCCAATCAACCCAAAAACCTGCTACCAACAGGATGTTTCCTAAACTAAACTATTCATGGTAAACATTATGCTACAGGCAGATAAGAGAAATTAACACTTTCTGACCTGCACCTGCTGTGCGATCGGTAACACCAGTTTCTACTTGCCTTTGAAGAGAACTATAAATCTTACTTTTTCAAAGCCCGTAAACCCTACCTAACAATAATAAAACCTAAGCCTTTTCTGCCCAGCTCCAGTGTCCCTTTGGGTAATTATACCTGGTGGTGGTATGGAGTTCCCAGTCATGCGACCACTGTGACTGACTGTCACAGTGGTTACGTGATGAGGAGCCTGTCCCGCCAGCTCAGCCACTGTGTTGTGCTGTCTGCACAGAATCATATGGGCAAATAAAGTCCAACCTCTTCGCCACTACACATATGCATTGTTTAGGCAGCAAGAGGTACATACAAAAGCTTAACGCTTTTATTACAAACAGTATGCAGCATTAGTAAAGGCAGTTTAGTTTAAAGCTAAACTCCAGATATGGTTTTAATCCAGAGGTAAATTGGTCAAGCTGGGACCATAGTATTCAAATTTCATATATGTGGGACTGCCGTGGAAGCACTGATTATTACAGTAGTCGGTGCTACCACTGTGATTGCCGCAATCTTCCGAACTCTGTGCGGAGTGGCTGCGCTTCAGAATAGTGAGCACAAGGTTGCTCAGCATGGCTGCAATTCTTGCATTTTTTCTGGCTGTATGAGGTAGAGATCGTAGAGTCACCTCCCTAACCCAGAGGTAGTAGGATAACGAATACTATAAGTTAATATTGCTATATTGTATTTTATGTTTACCAATTATTAAGAAACGAATTATAAAGAAACACACTTCATTATAGTATTTCTACAGAGAATAAGAGACATCCCAATTTCTATTAGCTTATACATAGTGCCATTGATTCCCAACATTGCATTCTACCTCAGAAGAGTAAATTATTCCATAGTACAACAGTAGATTTCTGTGAAAAAGGGCCTCACAGATTTTGTTACATTTTCTATTATTCCTTTTATGTATTTATTTTTACATGCATTTATTTTTCTAAATTGTACATTTCTGTAGAATATACTACATAAAAGAAGTCTAGGTTCCAAGTAAGACTTAAAGCTGAACTCCAGGAATGGTTTTTATTGCATAGCCACATTGGTATAGCATTGAGCAATGCACGTGTACATATTCCATACCTGTGGGACCAATGTGGAAGCAGACAAACACTGCAGTAGTTGGTATTACTACAGTAGCGATCACTGCGGTCTATGGGTTCTGTACAGAGAGGCTGCTCTTCTGCATAATGTACACTCGGGAGTCACTTTTTTTCAGTTCATTTTCTGATTGGATGGGGTGGAGGCAGACGCTACCACGCCCCCCTCTCCATCTCATCCAATGAGAAAATGCCCAACATTCACTGAAAAAAATTACAAGGGGCTTTCTGAGCAACAGTGTTGAGAGAGCGAATCCCTGTGCTCACTATGCAGAAGGGCAGCTGCTCAGCATGGGACCCGAAGACCACAACAATCACTGTAGCAGCACTATCTACTACAGTAATTCTTTGTTTCCACATTGGCCCCGCAGGTATGAAAAATGTATACTTACACTGGACCAATTTGAATATGCAATAAAAACCATATCTGTAGTTTAGCTTTAAAACTTACATAGCCTTTCCTTCTTTAGGCCCTATGCACACTAGGCTTCACAAAATGTCACTTTTAAGCCTTGATGTATCTTTGTAATTGCCTCTACACATTCCTATATATTAGCCTATGTATCCATGAAGTGTATTGCTACCAAAAAAGAAAAAAAAATGGATGTATTTAGAGCTTGAATGTTCATTAATTTCAATGGCCAGAATAAATTAATATTCTGGCCAATGAAATGTATGCAAGGCACAACGCTTGACGCGCCTGAATGCATTTACAGTGGGGATCGAAAGTTTGGGCACCCCAGCTAAAAATTTGTATTAATGTGCATAAAGAAGCCAAGGAAAGATGGAAAAATCTCCAAAAGGCATCAAATTACAGATTAGACATTCTTATAATATGTCAACAAAAGTTAGATTTTATTTCCATCATTTACACTTTCAAAATAACAGAAAACAAAAAAATGGCATCTCCAAAAGTTTGGGCACCCTGCAGAGTTAATATCTTGTACTGCCCCCTTTGGCAAGTATCACAGCTTGTAAACGCTTTTTGTAGCTAGCCAAGAGTCTTTCAATTCTTGTTTGAGGTATCTTTGCCCATTCTTCCTTACAAAAGTCTTCCAGTTCTTTGAGATTTCTGGGCTGTCTGTCACGCACTGCTCTTTTAAGGTCTATCCATAGATTTTCAATTATGTTGAGGTCAGGAGATTGTGAAGACCATGGCAAAACCTTCAGTTTACGCCTCTTGATGTAATCCCCCGTGGATTTCCAGGTGTGTTTAGGATCATTATCCATTTGTAGAAGCCATCCTCTCTTTAACTTCAGCTTTTTCACAGATGGCATCAAGTTACCATCCAAAATTTGCTGAAATTTTATTGAATCCATTTTTCCTTCTACTCGTGAGATGTTCCCTGTGCCACTGGCTGCAACACAACCCCAAAGCATGATTGATCCAACCCCATGCTTAACAGTTGGACAGAGGTTCTTTTCATTAAATTCTGTGCCCCTTCTTCTCCAAACGTACCTTTGCTCATTCCGGCCAAAAAGTTCAATTTTAACCTCATCGGTCCACAGAACTTGTTTCCAAAATGCTTCAGGCTTGTCTATATGTTCATTTGCAAAGTTCAAACGATGATTTTTGTGGTGAGGACGTAGAAGAGGTTTTCTTCTGATGACTCTTCCATGAAGACCATATCTGTACAAGTATCTCTTTATAGTGGAATAGTGTACCACAACTCTAGTGTCTGCCAGATCTTTCTGGAGGGATCGTGCAGTCAAACGTGGGTTTTGAATTGTTTTTCTCACAATCCTGCGAGCTGTTCTGTCTGATATTTTTCTCGGTCTTCCAGATCTTGCTTTAACTTCCACTGTTCCTGATGACTGCCATTTCTTAATTACATTCCGAACAGAGGATATTGACATCTGAAAACGCTTTGCTATCTTCTTATAGCCTTCTCCAGCTTTGTGAGCGTCAACTATTTTCAGTTTCAGTTTTCTAGATAACTGCTTAGAAGAACCCATGGTGCTGATTGTTGGGGCAAGGCCATGAGTCTGGGCATTTAAAACCTTTGAGATTGACATCACCTGGTCTTCCCAGACGAAGATTGAGAACAATCCATGACACTGGCAGGTCTCAGCTTGGCAAAGGGGGCAGTGCATGCTATAAATTCTGCAGGGTGCCCAAACTTTTGCAGACGCCATTTTTTTGTTTTCTGTTATTTTGAAAGTGTAAATGATGGAAATAAAATCTAACTTTTGTTGACATATTATAAGAATGTCTAATCTGTAATTTGATGCCTTTTGGAGATTTTTCCATCTTTCCTTATCTTCTTTATGCACATTAATACAAATTTTTAGCTGGGGTGCCCAAACTTTCGATCCCCACTGTAAATGCATTTGAATAAACAGATCATTTTTAAAACACATTTTTAACACGGCTTTCTTTTGCTA